TACTACTTCACATGCTTGCTAAAAATGCCTCAAATAAGAAGGGAGGGTGGTGAGTCTTGCCTTTGACATCCAGGTCGCTGGATTTTCAGATATGGTGCTCTGCGGGGTATCAAGGCCCCGGGAGGGGTCTCAGGATTACGTTGCAGTGAAGTTATAGATTCCACTGGTTTGGACGAGGAACTAGAGTTTTGTTTTCTTGTTTTTATCCTCATCTGAGGACATTTTTTCCATTTTTTGTTCAGATAGAGTGGGGGAGAGAGAGAGGAAGGAAGGGGGAAGAGAGAGAGAGAGAGAGAGACATGAAAGGGACACATGGAGTGGCTGCCTCCCTCATGGCCCTGACCCAGCCAGGGCTGGGGATAAACCGCAACCGAGGTACATGCCCTTAGCGGGAACCGAACCTGGGTCTCTCTGGACCACAGGCTGATGCTCCAACCGCTGAGCCAAACTGGCCAGGGCAGGAACTAGTGTTGTTTATGAAATTTCCACCTAAAGCATTCTTGCTGGATCTCAAGACATGTTACATTTGTGAAATGGACATTCTGTCATCTCAGTGGCTCTATAATGAATGGAATGACTTGAATGGAATATCAGGTCCATAAGATCGATTCTTTGCCTTTAAAAGGAGTTTCATAGTTTGTAAAGCAGGTTCTAATAAAGCCTCTTATTTCTAGGAAGAACCCAGTAGGATTGCTGGGAAGGTATCTCTCTGAACTCAGGTTTCTGCAGGCCTCTCCTGGGAAGGGTGCTACAAATAGGGCCTCGGGACTGGGAGGCACACGCCACACTTTGGTGCATGATGCTGGTACACTGCTCACCACCGAGCTGCCGCACCGCCTGCTGAGGGTCTCTGACACCTCCCATCGCTTTTCCATGAATTCACAAACCATAACAGGACATGCCTCCCAGCCATTGAGAGCATCCTCATTTTGAAGACTCATCTCTTCTACCTTTTAATGAAACATGGTTTCTTCCCATGTATCAGTGAACTTGGTTCTCTGCAATGTGGTTCCTCAGTCATTCAACCCATGTAGTCTTTCCGTCACGTTTTTACTTGTCCCCAAGATGTGAAGAAAGATGTTGGGGTACTATTGTTCTAAACACAGTGATGACTCCCAGGGCCCCACAACCTCTTGCTCTCCTGCTAAGATCTGCCTTCAGCATCGGAGTGACCATGTTGATGCCAGAGATGATATTTCTTCCTGACGACAGCACAGCACCCCCTGAGCTTTTCATTTCTCATGGTTCCGACAGAAAAGTAGAGCTGCGTCTCGTCTGCCTTTCCACTGTTGGTCATTTCCCTAGAGTGGTGGACGCACAGGAGAGTGGAAGGGGCTCTATAAACAAGTATATCGGAGTGATAGGCACAGACTTGGGTGCCCTTGGGCCAACCAGGGTATATGGCCTCCTGTGTACAAGGCTAGAATTCATGTCATAACTCCTTCCCCCCACGGCCTTGGCTGGGGAGCCAAGGTGAGCCCAGGGGTCTCTCCGGTTGAAAGCTCCTAGTCTCTCTCACTTGTTTGAGAGGTTCTCTTGGGACGCTTCAGCTCTGATATGGGCTGGGAGAGCATCCCCTGGCCCCTAAGCACAACCGATGCCTTTCGTACAGACAGCCCACTCCCTTTTCCTCCTCCCAGTCTTCCTCTTCATTCACCCTTTGTGTGTTCGACAAATATGAATGAATTCCAGTGATGGACCAGACACCGTTCCTGACACTAAGGACGTAACTAACAAGACAGACAAGAGCCCTGGCCCAGTGGAGTTGGAATGTAGGTGATAAGATCATATATGCATCTTAATTTGCATCTCTGTGATGATTAGTGATATTGAGCATCTTTTCATATGTCTATTGGCCATCTGAATGTCCTCTTGGAGAAGTGTCTATTCAGATCCTTTGCCTGTTTTTTATTTTATTTTTTAAAATATGTTTTTATTGATTTTAGAGATAGAGGAAAGGGGGGGAGAGAGAGAGAGAGAGAGAGAGAGAGAGAGAGAAAGAGAAACATCGATTGGCTGCCTCATGCATGCCCCCTACTGGGGATCGAGCCCACAACCTGGGCATGTGTCCTGACCAGGAATTGAACTGGTGACCTCTTGGTGCCTGGGACAATACCCAACCAACTGAGCCACTTCGGCCACGGCCTTTGCCCATTTTTTAATTGGGTTGTTTTTCTTCTTGGTGTTGAGTTGATGAGTTATTTATATATTTTGCAAATTAAATCCTTATCAGATGCATCATTGGCGAATATGTTCTCCCATATAGTGGGGTCACTTTTCATATTGTTGATGGTTTCTTTTGCAGTGCAGAAGCTTATATTGTCTCATGCCTGTCGAAACGGCTATGATCAATAAATAAAAAACCAGCAAGTGCTGACAAGAGTGTGGAGAAAAGGGGACTCTAGTACACTGCTGGCGAGAATGCAGACTGGTGCAGCCACTACAGAAAACAGTAGGGAGTTTCTTCAAAAAATTTAAAGTGGGCCTTGGCCAGTGTGGCTCAGTTGGTTGGGAATGTTTTCCCACACACCAAAACGTGGCCACATGTGGCACATTCAATTCCTGGTCAGGGCACATACCCAAGTTGTGGGTTCGATCCCTGGTTGGGCATGTGCAGGAGGCAACTGATCTCCCTCCCCCCCTGCCCCTCTCCCTCTCTGTAAAAATCAATTAAAATAAAATAAAAAATTAAAAATGGAACTACCTTTTGACCCTGTGATCCCACTTCTGGGAATATATCCAAAGAAACCCAAAAACACTAATTCGAAAGAATGTGTGCACCCCTATATTCATAGCAGCACTATTTACAATAGTCAACATCTGGAAACAGCCCAAGTGTCCATCAGTAGATGAGTGGATAAAAAAGCTGTGGTACATATACACTATTTGGCTGTAAAAAAAAAAAAAAGAAAATCTTACCTTTTTTCAACAGCATAGATGGACCTGGAGATTATTATGCTAAGTGAAATAAGCTATTCAGAGGAAGATAAGTACCATATGGTCTCACTTATATGTGAAATCTAATCAACAAAATAATATAGCAGACAAAATAGAAACAGAAGCATAGATACATAGGACACACTGACAGCTGTCAGAGGGAGGGGATTGGGGGGTTGGGTGAAAAAAGGTAAAGGGATTAAGCAAAATGTATATATGACACATAGACACCGGACAACAGTGTGGGGAGAGCCAGAGGGAGAGGGCTGGGAGGTGGAGGTGGAAGTGGGCAAAGGGGGCATGCGTGGGGACAGAGAGAGGTGTGGCTTCGGGTGGCGAGCGCACGGTGCAATGTGCAGATGATGTTTTATTGAGTTGTATACCCTTGACACCTGTATGGTTTCATTAACCAGTATCACCCCAATAAATTCAATAGAAAAGAGATTAATTGCCAAAAAAAAAAAAAGATCATATGTGCCTACATACATACGTGTCCAGTGTCTTGGAGACATACATTTTGTGAAGAAAATAATAGAGAATTAGGGATTAGAACATGAGTGAGGGGTCTTACAGAGAGGATGGTGAGGGGAGACCTCACGTAGAGGGTGGTCTTTCGCAAAGCATGGGTGTGAACAGAACCCCGTGATGGGCTGGGGAAGCCCTGCCCGGCATAGACACAGGGCAGGCGCTGAGGGGCCGAGCTCTCTGGGTGACTCAGCAGGACCCCGTGCAGCTACAGCAGGGGAGTCAAAGGGGCAGGGACAGTGTGTGGGCTCCTGTGGGCCGTGGTCAGAGCTTCGGTTGTAGTTCTGGGTGTGATGAAGCCACTGAAGGTTCTGACGGGGGAGTGATATGACCACACTATGCCTTGGACCCTGCTCATGGCCGGGGGACATTTCACTCTGGTGGGTGGGGCGGGGGGATCAGAGGCGGGGTGACCAGTTAGTACTCTGGTGGATTTCAGAGAACAGAACCGAAGCCAGTGGCTGTGAGTTTACGTGGAGGCACATTTTGGCATAGACTGGGTAGGGCTTTTTAACATTGAGGGCTGGGTTTCCAGGGTAATGATTTCCTTCCATGACATCGCTGAGGCCGAGGCTGATCCCCAGTTCAGAGCTGGGAGGTACAGGCTTCTGAGGTCCCTCCGACGCATGAGTCTCCTCTGCTGGACACAGCACAGGTGTCCGTGCGCAGCATGGGACACAGGCCTCAGCTGCTGGAGCACCACGCGGCGTAAGAACAGGCATATCTGGCTTCTGACTTGGCTGTGTGATTTGGGGACAAGTTTTGTCATCTCTCAGGGCCTCTGTTTTTTGTTTTGTTTTATTTTTCATCCTCAGCTGAGGACATTTTTTTGCACTTATCTTCAGATAGAGCCAGAGGGAGAGAAGGAGGAAGAGAGAGCGAGAAACACTGAAGTGAGAGAGACACATCGAGTGGCTGCCCCCCCCCCACGATCCAACCAGGGCCGGGGACGAACTGCAACCGAGGTACGTGCCCTTAGCGGGAACCGAACCCGGGACTCTCCGGTCTGCGGGTTGACACTCTAACCGCTGAGCCAAACCGGCCAGGGCAGGGCCTCTGTTTTTATGTGTTAAGAAATAAAAATCACTGGCTCCTAAGGGGTGTTGTGAGGATGAAAAGATTAATCAGATACCTCTCTTACAAGTTCGTCAGACACAGACTCGGTATTGGTTATGTAAAGCTCCTGCAAGGGGTGGTGAACTGTGAATGAGGTGAGGCTGATGAATGAAGAATCATGAATTAGGAGTCACACCTCTGTCCCCAAGTCTGTCCTGGGGGAATTTTTCCTCGGTAACAAGCATCCAGCCTCATCTGTATTTCTTCACGGTGGTTTCCTGGCATTTGACCTGCGTGGGTTTCTCCAGGACCCCAGAACGGCCACACCTGTGTTGCCTCCCAGTCACCCATGGACACCTCACGGGACCTCTGTGCCAGACCAGCTTTCTTGACGAAACGGGCACACCCAGAACCAGGAAGTTACCTCCTCCCTTGCTCATTAAAAGGCCTGGGAGCCCTGGGCAGCTTTGTAGCGCTCCTGCATGGTGGCCGAGCCTAAGGTTGGCCCAGGGACGAGAGCATCTCTTTGAACAAAGGTAACTTCTGCTGCTCAGCCATGTGACAGGCGGCCCCTTCCTCTGCTCTGTCTAGCCTCAAGGAGCCTCTGGGGCTGAGGGGTCTGGAGTCCAAGGCGCAGAGAAGTTGGGGCTACTTCCACGAGTACAGAGGTCACGGTAGCATCAGGCACTGGGGGGTCCTGAGGCAGGAAGGGTAGTGAACAGCGGATTCTCCCTGTGCGGAGCCTGTGGTCTTCTTGGGAACTGTCCTGGTGCCCGAACCAGAAGCCCAGAGCCAGGTGTCCTCTGACAGTCAAAACACCTAATGGAGCCGGTGGGTGTCCTTAGAGATGCCTATTTGGATGGGGACAGGGAGAAGACGGGAGTCAGAGAGGCAGGCTTGCTGCCAATTATTAAGGATGGTCACGCTTCAGTTCAGGAACACTAGTGGCTTATCAGCTGTGGGAGGCTAAGCAGAGAACACACTCTCTCCCGTCCTGCCTGTAGACCCGGAAACTCACCTAGAAGGCGCTGGGGTGCTCTGGAATCTCCTAGCTATCCCAGGCGTAACGGGCTCAGAGCACCCCAACGCCATCGCACGCTAGAGAGCCAGGACCATCCAGTCGCGACAGAGCCGGAGGCTGGCCCTTGGGGGGGCTGGCCTTGGAGTGTGCTCTCCCCACCCCTCATCTCAAATGTGCAGCTGGGACAGGAGCTCAGGGCAGATTCCTCCAAATAATTTTTATGCGAATTTCTGGGGTGGGGGGGGGAGAGCAACAAATAACATGTTTTTCTTCCCTCTTCCCTGCACAAGACCAGCTGTTGACAACCTCTTCGCCAGCACCTGAGCTACATGGTCCTCTTAACAGAAAGCCCTGAAGCTGACATGTCCACCATATGTAAGTGGCAGATTACAAGCCAGCTTGGAAGTCTCCATCGGGCCTCAGCAAGGACAATAGGGCACAGGGGCCCCTTTCATCTGCTCAGCTACAGAAGTATTTGCTAAAAGACAGATCAGGAAACCGGCACTTGAAAATCTCAGAGCATTTAGTTCTTGTCATTTTTTTCAATCTTCACCGGAGGACATTTTTTTTTTTTTTTTTGGCATTTATCTTCAGATAGAGTGGGAGGGAGAGAGGTGGGAAGAGAGAGAGAAACACATCAAGTGGTTGCCACCCACACGACCCCAACTGGGGCCAGGGACAAACTGCAACCGAGGTACGTGCCCTTAGCAGGAACCGAACCTGGGTCTCTCTGGTCCGCGGGCCGACGTGCTCACCGCTGAGCCAAACCGGCCAGGGCTTAGTTCTTGTCTTACAATGTGTGTTTAGAATTGTTTATTTTGAGAAAGAGGGCAAAGAAACAAACAACATCCTGATGACCAAGTAAATACTTTTTGTTGTTTTTTTAGTAGCATAGACTGTCAATCAGAAAAGGGGAGGTCTCCATTACCCCTTGAAAATCTCTGAGGACCATGAGGGTATGAAGAGTCTTTCAGAAGCTCTGATCCACAAATCAGCCCCTGCCTGGGTTCCCCTCCCTCCTTACAGCCGCTCTTTCTCAGAACAGTCAGCCTACCCTAGGATTTGCTTAATTCTGCAACTTTCCATTTACTGTTTTCAGACCACAGTTGACTGTGGGTAACTGAAGTCTCGGGAGGAGCGACGGTGGATAAGGGGAGGGCCACTGTGTTACAGGATGCAGCCAAAGTCCTGAGGTTTATGGCAACCTCGCGTGTGTTTTGTGCTCTTTTCTGTCATGTAGCTGCGCAAGAATCTCCAGGACTCCACAGTGTTCGTGATTCTCTGCAGATGGTGTGGGTCCTGAAGGGAAAGTCTTTAATCGCGGTTCCTTCTAGCAGCAATGTCAAACCTGGTGAGTGACCATCAACGCCACTGCTGCCTCTTAAAGGGACACCAGCTCCACCGGGGATGGGGCTGAGCTTGGAGGAGCCTGGCCATGGCCTCTCCTGGTTCTGGGCACCAGCTCAGTGTCTGTAGGAAGGGCCCAAAGGCAGCCCTGTAGCTAGAAACAAGGTGTGAGGGAGGGCAGTTCTCCTTACCCAAAGGAAAGGTCTTCGGTCAAACGGGGTTGTCCATTCACCCAGCAGCTGAGCTTCTTCTTGGGGGCTTCTTTCCTTTAAATCTCATCCATTGCTACTCATGTCCTCAGATTGAACTCCTTCACCCTCCATCGCCAAACCTGCACCCTTTTCTAACTTGGTGTCCTCTCTCCTAGTAACAGGAGAGTATTTCTTCTTCCTATCAAAAGTCATCCATTTCATGGCAATGATGCCTCAGTAAAGCTGGGGCAAAGTCAGTCCAACCTGGCTTTTTCCCATTCCCTAAGATTCCGTGTTTGGTCCCATCTGTCCGTGCACATCCCACCTTTGTCTGTCTCTTGGGTCCTTTCTGTCACAGGCAAACAGGCTCTGACATAGTATTTCCAAGCTTAATACTAAAGAGCTCCTGTACACCATGTACCAACCACTGCCGGATTCCACGGAAGACTCGACCACACAGCCTGTCTCTGTTTCACGTCCTGCTTGAGCCTACATCAAACGCTTGACTTCTAACCTGGTCTTGGACCCCTCGCCTTGAAGCTCCTCTCTCCGAGGTCGCCCAGTGCACTTCTCTGTGCTCACATCTGGTGCTTCAGCCACAGTCAGCAGAACGGAGAACTCCTTCCTTGAACACTCCATCTTCTCTTTCTGTAAGAACACCCTCTTATGGTTCCCTGGCTCCTCCTCTACATCCTCCCTTCCGACTCCACTTCCTCTGTCAAATCTCCCCATGCCGGGACGCTCAGAGCTCAGCAGGCAAGCACTCCATGACCCCTGGAGGGCGGATACATCGCCTCTCGCACTCTGGCATGTACGTGTCCAGCCCGGACGAACATTGCACCCACGTCCCGTCAATGTCCTCTCAGATGCCTCTAGCTTCATCGATCGCAGGTGCAACTGTGGCTCTGGCTTCTCAGAACAGCTGACAAACTCACTCTCCCCATCTCCATTAGCCGCACTACCGTGACCCTGTTTGCTCGCGCCAGAAAGGCAGGAGAACCCTTGATCCCTCCTTTTCTTCAGTCTCTGTCCAATCCATCAGCAAAGACTGATGAATCTGTGTGCACAGCAGGCCTGATTTCTAAGGTGATTATCGTCTCTCACCTGGACCACAGCCACACTTCCTCACTGCCTCCCTCCGGTCACGTGTGCAGCCTCCCGTCCATCCTGCATGAAGCATCACAGTGACCTTCTTACCGTGTTCTTTGGAGGACACCCTTCCCATGTGTTGTGATTTGGGGGAGGGAGGCGGGGGGTAGGTAGGAGGTGGGGAGAGCTCAGGCTCACCTGTCTTCTTTGAAGCCTTGACCGTAACCAGTTCTTTTCCACCTGTGGCTTTGACCACCCTTTTCCTATAACCCTCTCCCTCTCAACCCCTACCATTCTATCTCCACTCCCCCATTTACCAGCTTCCTCTTAGCCTTAAGGTCCTGGGTTGACTTCCCCTTTGCAGGAGGGGTCTTTATTGATTTTTCTGTCTCAATTTGGTTTCTCTTACCATCCCAGGCTTTGGTCACTAACCCAAAGCAGGTATTGCAATTTATTGTGGTTCTGGCCATCTCTCTGCTTACATCTTTTCATCTCATTTTCCACGGGGGCAAAGCCTGCCTTGTCCTGAGTGGGCATTCCAGAAAGTGTTGAGTGGGTGAACCCCCTGTGCCCCACCCCCACCCAGAAGGAGCGAGTCCTCTGCTTGGACTCCCGGGCTCAATTAGCTAGGAATTAAAATCAGCCGATAGTGAACCCATGTGACTGGAACTTACATAAGATAAAGTTTATTTCTTAAAAAAATTTTTAATTTTGACAAGAGATGCATAGCTCAGAAAGTCCCAGTGATTTTATGAGGTTTACAGTGAAACCCTCTGTGTCCTGCCCAACCCCAGAGGCACCACTATCAGTTATTGAATCTCTCCTTTGGTAGTTTCCTCAATTACTTTATTTTTTTGATCTCTATTGTTGAGAGGATTACAGATGTTCCCCCTTCTCCCCAATGACTTCTCCCCACTCCCACCCGCCTCCTGCCTTCCCCACACTGTTGTCTGTGTCCGTTGATTGTGCATATAAGTTCTTTGGTCTATCTCTTCCCAACCCCCTGCCCCCGTTCCCTCTGAGGTTTGTCAGTCTGTTCTGTACTTCCTTGTCGTTGGATCTCTGTTGATCGTCAGCTTATTTTATTCATGATCTCCCATAAGTAAGTGGGATCATGTGGTGCTTGTCTTTCTCTGACTGGTTTATGTCGCTCAGCATCATGCTCTCCAGGTCCCTCCATGTCCTTCCCAAGAGTAAGAGGCCTTTCTTTCTTACAGCAGTGGTGAGCCCTTATCAACCTCAAGGCCACCTCCATCCTCACCTCAGTGTAGGAAGACATGGGGTACAATGGAGCTCCTCCCCGAGTCAGCTCCCCTTAGAGAACACTCTTGGAAATCTCACACAACACTTCTGCTTTTAGCTCAGGGGCTGCAACGTAAGCGTACGGTCAAAGTGAGCGGCAAGTGTGGCGGGAAATCTTGTTTTGATTTGGGGGCAGCTGGGTCTGATAGTAAGGAAGGAAAAAGAGAATGAAACCCACGAGGCTGATGGAGGAGCCTTCTGGGCGGACCTGGCTGGTCAGCAGCCCTGGCGGGAGGAGTGGCCAAGGGTTAGGCAGGACCAGCCCTTCCGCTGCCTGGAGCCTGACACCAGTTTCCGTTCCCCTGTTCCCAGTCACTATTTGCTCAGCACCATGCACAGACGCAAAGTACCACAGTGACGAAAAAGGCAATCTGATCTACCTGGGAATCAAGGACGTAGATCTCTGTCTGTTCTGTGCAAAAATTGACGGCCAGCCTACTTTGCAGCTGGAGGTGAGTGGTTGTGAAGCTAATGAGAGAAGTACTGTGAGACGAACCTTGTCTTTCGTTTTAATATGTTACTGACTAAAAATAACATTTTTCCAAATCAAAACACGCTACCTCTGGAATGGATGTAACACTTTAATGCCTGAGCATCCTCTGAACGCAAGCGAGGATCCCACGAGGATGTCTCAGGATGGCCAGGACTGGTGGCTTCTCCATTCACCACCTTTTTTAACCGCCTCCCAGAAATCCTGAGACTTTGGGGCGCTCCCCTGTAAGCAAAGGCCGCCGCACACACAGGAGAACAGGGAGATGGTTAGTCTGGATTCTGTGGATCTCCTGTGTGCGGTCCTGCACTGAAGGCAGCGTCTGTGGTCACGGAGCTCGTCCTGCTCTGATGGACGCTGCAAAGTACAAACCCCCTGCGGACCGGGAATCTCGCGAGACCGGCCTGAGCCTGCAGAGGGGTGCAAGGCAGGAACACCTAGGAGAAATGAGCCCCACTCTGTTCTCGGGGTGGATGGTGTTGTCCCGTAGAATCAGAATCACCTGCTATTGTGGGATCCCGGGGGAGCCAAGCTGTTGGAACCCGGGTGCCTGTTCTGACCCCTGGCCCCTTCCTCTTGCCGGAGTGTCCCTCCGGTGGGGAAGCAGTCCCTCCCGAGGCTGAGTTAGTCTAGCTCCCTCCCCCCTGGCCCTCTCTAACAGGCTCTTTCCCGCCCAGGAGAAGCAGATAATGGCCCTGTACAAGGAGAAGAATGCGCAGGAGCCCTTTCTCTTCCTGCGCAGCCTAGAGGGCTCCACCTCCAGCTTCCAGTCCTTCGCCTACCCCGGCTGGTTCATAGCCACTTCCTCCGAGGTGGGACAGCCCGTCACCCTCACCCAGGAGAGGGGCACCACCTTTAACACCAACTTCTATTTCACTCCTGAGGAGTAAATCCCGCCCAGGCTGTGCGTGGCTGATTCCGGGCCAGAGGATCTAGCAGTCGGAGAACTTTCTAGGTCACCGTCAAAGGCGCTGATGCCCACTGAGAGCCCACCTCGGGCTCAGCACCCGTGTCCCCCACTGGAGCGGCCTCCCAGTGGGACCTGACAGCCACGTTTTCTTCTTCCCTGATCTGGTCCCACCACCTGCGTAGCTGCCACGTCCGGTGAAGGCAACATCCCCAGTGCTCCTCGCACACCCACAACCCTCTCCGGTTCCTCCTGCCAACCCCTGGCCTAGAGATGTGAATTCCAAACATTTTTGTTCATATCACCCTTTCAATAAAAAATGCTATTTATTAATTGTATGCATGTTCATTATGCAGATTGTAATATGTACCCCCAAAGATAAATCTAAAGGATAAGGTAAATGCGAAGTAATAATTTGACATGTCGATAATCATGATGAATTCTTAATATCATTAGTTAATCATTTGACACAGACTAGACTTTGGTTATGATGAATTGTTTAACAATATGAATGCAAATCAATCCATGTTTCAAAGAATCACATCAGTGTGAATTATTTTCAGGCAACTTTTTGAAACTCATTGCATTGTCCTTGGTTTTACTTTTTAAAGTGGCTGGAAGTAGAAGGGCCAGCTATGAGATTTTCTTGTTATTATTCATATTTTTTGAAATTTTAGTAGAACCTTCAATCGATGGTTTCTTTCTTTTTTATCCTCACCTGAGGATATTTTTCCATCTATCTTCAGATAGAATGGGAGGGAGAGAGAAAGAGAGGAACATCGACATGAGAGAGACACATCGATTGGTTGCCTCCTGCACGACCCCTGACCAGGACCAGGGACTGAACAGCAACCAATGTATATGCTCTTGGCTGGAATCAAACCTGCGACTCTGGCCCGTGGGCCGACGCTCTAAGCGCTGAGCCGAACAGGCCAGGGCCCAACACTTTCTTTATTGGGATGCATTTAAGCCCGTTGTCCATTTTGTGAGGGTTACTTCCATTGAAGCCTGTAACAAAATCTACAAATTCACTTGACCTAGGAGACGCCGGACATGAACATGGGCATGGAGGCCTCCACCCTCAGGGGGCCTTGCCCTTCTTTGCATGTGATAATTGGGATAATCAAGTTTGGCAATGGGTACCCATTGCTAACTGAGTTCAAATTTCTCAGCCAGGCATAATCTGTCCCAAGACCTATCCTTCTGGTATTACCCCCTGTTGCTTCACTGCCCGTGATTGTTTGGGGTAACCCTTGAACCTCAGCTTACGCCCTGTTAGCCTGCTTTTCCTGTCATTGCTGTGCTTTGAGAAGTAACCCGACAGCATGTCGCCTCTGCTGCGCCAACCGTCTCTCTCCCTGTTCTGGGGTGGCTGGGACACCCGGGGAAGGACACTGCAAGGACATGCTTGGCGCATGTGCAAACTTGGAAGTAAGAGAGAGCTGCTCCAGAGGAAGCCTTCACCAAGGGGGATGGGGTGGTGGGGAAACGCTACCTCTTGATCACTGGGGTGGACAATTCTGAGATGCATTCTACCTCAGTCCTCAGAGAGTCCCAGCAGGACGGAGTCATGGTTGCCCATGGCAGTGCTGAGCTCAAGAGCACATCCTTGCGTTGGCTTCCCTCACTCTCCGCTTCAACCTGCCCAGCGCCCACTCCTGTTCCCTGGGGTCACTGCTCACCATCCTGCATGCAAGCCCTTGTCTCAGGCTCTGCTTTCTGGCATAAACCGAGGCTGAGACAGATTCCATCCAAGTGAGCTGCTTTTCTCTATTAGCTACTCCCAGCACATTGGCTTTCTTCCCTCCACACCTCCTCTCGTGCAAACACCTCAACACTTCAATCCCTGTGTACCTCACCTGTCCATTTCTCTAACATCCTGCATCTATAGGAAGTGTTTGGAGGCCTCTTCTCATCTCCCCAACCAAATGCAGCATCTGAGCTCCTTTGAGGTCCATAGTACTTTGCCTTCTCATGTGACATTTCTTTTGCTAGACTTTGTGTTTCAGTTTTTTCTCCTCATGTTGGCCCCTCTGCTCTCTTCTCCTCGACCAAATTCTAGGTACATAGAGAACAGAGAGTGTGTCTTTCATGTCTATTTACTCCCTTAGGTGCCAACTCTTGCCCTTTATGTAACAGTTTCTAATAAAAAATATAAGTCCATGTTTTATTTTCAACAGATACTGACAATCTGCCCTTCGATGTGGCTTTTCCAATGTATACTCCCAATGATACGTTTATCCTTCCCTGCCAAAACGTAATTTTAAAATAAAAACCACTGTCCATCCAGTGTATGAAGAATGCTATCTTGTTACTTTAATTTGTATGCCCTGATTACTAGTAAGCTATTTACTGCTCAGCACATTCCAGTTGACTTCTAACTTCTCCACCAACACTTTTCTTTTGAGCATCACCAGTGATCTCTGCTGCCCAGATGCAGTGGGCATTCTGCCGCCTTCATCGTAGTTGGCACTGGGCACAGCCTGCCGCTCTGCCACATCTTACTCTCACATCTGGGGGCTCTGAGGCTGGTCGCCCCTAGTTTTCCCCAATGCCAGTGGCTTTTCCTTCTTATTCCTCTTCTCTGCTCCCTCCCAAGTGACTTCAAAGGTTGAAGTTCCTCAGGCCTCATCCCCAAGTTCTCTTCTCTTCTACACTGTCTCCCTGGATGACACGAATGGAACACTGTCCAGATGGATGGTGACGGTTTGATCTGGCCCAAGGCTCTCGCTGGGACACCAGTAGACCCTTGACCATTGTCCAACATGCCCACTTCCACACTCAGTTACTCAAGACAGAAACCTAAGACTCCTCTTTGATCTCTCCTTTCCCTGAAGTCCTACATCCAACCCGTCAAGTCTATCTCCAAAGAGGTTTACCTTCAAAATACACCTCAACTTCTCCTGTCTCAATGCTCCTGTCACCCCCACTGCACCTAGAGCATCCACCGTCGCTCACCAGTCTGCAAATCAGCATCTGGTTGGCTGGTGCCTCCACCCGCTCCTCCCTCTGTCTGGTAAATCCATTCTGCACGAGTCAGCCAAGATGATCTCCATGAGTGGAAGTTTAACTGCATCACTCCGATGTTTAGACGCCTCTAATGCTTCATGTGCACGGGGAAGGAAATCAAATTCCCTATCTCTGCTTCCAACCCCTTTCCAGCTCATTTCCCCTCCAATGCTCTTTAGTCATGTTAATCCATTGGGTTTTTTTTGAAAATGCCAAATTCTTTATATCCCAGGACCTTTGCATATGCCATGCTCATGTACATCCCTATTACCTGTATTAATTTCTTTTCATTATTTGCCTTTCTGTTTGTTTGTTTTTTTTAGTTATTTCTTCTTATGTCACCTCCTCAAGAGACCTTCCCTAACTCCATGTCCAGGAAGCTGCTTTCTCCACCTCCTGAACTTTCTATCTTGTTTTTTATTGTTTCCTTCACACAATTTGTAATGACTTTATTTGTCTTTAACTTTCTTTCTTTTTCTTAAAAGATAAATTTATTTTATTTTATTTTATTTTTTAATTAATTAATTAATTTTTGTTACAAATGTTTCCCCTTTTTCACCCACTGATTCCCCCCTTCCCCTCCCTCCCCACCCTGTCCCCACCTTTGTTGTCCATGTCCATTGTTCATGCAAACATGCACATAAGTTCTGTGGTTTATCTCTCCCCCCCCACCCCTCTTCTGGGGATTGTCAATCTGTATCCCACTTCCATGTCTCTGGGACTACACCGTTCCTCAGACTGTTATATTCATTATATTCCACAAATAAGTGAGATCATGTGATATTTGTCTTTCTCTGTTTGGCTTGTTTCACTTAGGATAATATTCTCCAGGTCCCTCCATGTTGTCTCAAAGGATAAGAGATCTTTCTTTCTTACAGCTGCATAGTACTCCATTGTGTATATGTACCACAGCTTTTTAAACTATTTGTCTACTGATGGACACTTGGGCTGTTTCCAGATCTTAGCTATTGTAAATAGTGCTGCAATGAACATGGGGGTACATATATTCTTTCTGATTGGTGTTTCAGGCTTCTTAGGGTATATTTTTAGAAGTGGGATCACTGGGTCAAGTGGAAATTGAATTTTTAATTTTTTGAGGTAGCATCATATTGTTTTCCAGAGTGACTGCACCAGTCTGCATTCCCACCAGCAGTGTACTAGAGTCCCCTTTTCTCCACACCCTCGCCAATACTTGTTGTTTGATGATTTGTTGATGGCGGCATTCTGACAGGTGTGAGGTGATACCTCATTGTTGTTTTAATTTGCATCTCTCTGATGATTAGTGATGATGAGCATTTCTTCATATGTCTCTTAGCCATTTGTATGTCCTGTTTGGAGAGGTGTCTATTTAGTTCCTCTGACCATTTTTAAATTGGGTTCTTTGTCTTCCTTTTGTTGAGTTGTATGAGCACTCTATATATATTGGAAATTAACCCCTTATCTGATATATCATTGGCAATGATGTTCTCCCATACAGTGGGTAGCCTTTCCATTTTGATGATTGAATCTTTTGCTGTGCAGAAGCTTTTGAGTTTGATGTAGTCCCATGTGTTCATTTTCTCCTTTGTTTCTGTTGCCTTAGGTGATGTATCAGTGAAAATTTTGCTGGTATGATGTCTGAAATTTTGTTACCTACATTTTCTTCTAAGATTTTTATGGATTCATGAGTCACATTTAAGTTTTTTTATCCATTTTGAGGTTATTCTTGTGTATGTTATAAGTTTCATTTTTTTGCATGTAGCTGTCCAATTTTCCCAACACCATTTATTAAAGAGGCTGTCTTTACTCTACTGTATGCTTTTGCCACCTTTGTCAAATATTAATTGAGCATTTTGCCTTGGGTCCATTTCCAGGTTCTCTGTTCTGTTCCACTGGTCTATATGTCTGTTCTTGTGCCAGCACCGGGCTGTTTTGATTACAGTGGCTTTGTAGTATAACCTGAAATCTGGTAATGTGATCCCTCCAACTTTGTTCTTCTTTTTCAAGATTGCTGTGGCTATTCGAGGTCTTTTTTGATTCCAAATGAACTTTTGAAGTATTTGTTCTAGTTCTGTGAAGTATGTCGTTGGTATTTTGATGGGGATTGCGTTGAATCTATAGATTGCTTTGGGTAGTAT